CCTCTTGTCGCCCCCCCTCTCCCGCTGTCCACCCGGTGATCGCGGAGGTCACACGCTGGAAGTCCATCGGGGACGCGCTCGCGCCAACCTACCCTTCTCTGCTGTCAACAGATATTTTTTCTCTTATCCGAAGAGGGAGCGCTTGGGGATGAAGGCATATACTAGTCCAGCCACCTGTCTCGCGGCAGGGGCGGAGAGGGGCGGGTGGATCCTATGGAGAGACAGCTCGAGAAGCGCACTGCTGCAGTGCTGCCCCGCCCCCACCGGCGCTGCTGTATCACACATTGTGTGTGCGTGTGCGTGGGTGTGGGTGTGTGGGTGTGTGTGAAAAGGGGGGGGGTCTCTGGGGTCTAGTCGTGTGACTTTACCCCATCAGTCAGATTCAGAATACAGTACGGTGAGAGCGACCCTATAGGCTAAACAGTAGCCTGTTTATTGCATTAGAATGTAGATATTTTCTTTAATAAGTAGTAGACCTACATAACCTATTATTAGCCTTCCACCTCTACTGAATTGATTGGCATAGGATATCTAAAAATGTCTCATGGCGTTTTTTTGAAACATCTCAGAAACTGTCATTTTTGTCTTGACAAAGCAGAGTTTAATGTGCAAGCAATAACAACTGATACCAGGGTAACACTGACTGTTGGGCTAATTTCCTAACTTTAAAGGGGTAGCCTGCTGCAGAAATTTTGTAGGTAGGCCTACTGCAGTTTCACGAAGTTGTGGTGCTGGCAAGAGAAAGATTTAAAATTAAGGAACAAAACTAAAAATATCAAAAGCAGCAGGTCCTGACTTTTAACACATCAGAGGTATTTTCTCAGACTTGACATAGATCCTCTTCCGGGTCTCTTCCATGATGACAATGCCCCTATCCACAGGACTCCAGGGGTCACTGAACAGCCTAATGAGTCTGAACATTATGTGAATCATATTGCCTTCACAGTTGCCAGATCTCCACGTGATTGAACACCTGTGGGAGATTCTGGACCGATGGGCTAGACTTCAAAACACTAGCTGGGGGAATATCTTATGGAAGAATGTTGTTCATCACTCCAGTAGCACTCAGAGACTTGTAGAATCAATGCCAAGGTGCACTGAAGCTGTTCTGGTGGCATGTGATGGTTCAGCACCTTACTGAGACACTTTATGTAAATTTTCCTTTAACTTGTCACTCATTTGTATGTGCCCTCTCATTTCCAGTTTCCCCTCAAATCCAGTGCACACATGCTTTGGATGGCAGTTAATAAAAGCATTTCTGAAAAAACATTACATGCACTTGTGGTAGTGCTGTTTTTTCATTCTTCCCACAACTGTTTCCATCAGTTTTCATATATCCATGAAAGTCTAAGACCAGAATTTCTTCAAGGAAAGACCTGGTGAAAGTGTGTGCTGTTATCTATTTTGTAGAACTCATTGCACTTTAGGCTACAGCCACAGAGTTCTTGGAGAGAAATTAAGGAGGCAAAGGTTTGAGGCCAAAAGGAGGCTGATGTTTGGCTTTTTGCCCTGCATTGCCCTGCATTGCCCTGCGTTCCGCTGCAGCAATGTGGAGCAGACTGGGTTTTTGTAGATCTTAGGCCCCCTGACCAGTTGTCTGTGTGTTTAATGTGTGTGTGTGTGTGTGTGTGTGTGTGTGTGTGTGTGCCTGTGTAAAGCACTTTGAACTGCCTCTGTGTTTTAAATGTGCTATATAAAAATGTGTCTTGTTTTGCATTTAAAAAAGCAGTTAATCTTTCCAGAAAGCATTGATGTCTTCACAATGAAATCACCTGCTCTTTTGTATTGAATGTGCCCATGGAGAAGCACCAAAAACCATTTTTATATCACATCTTTTTAGGTTATAACATAGTAGCCTAGGTGTATGAACTAACTGAGAGACTTTCATCTCCTCCAGATCTTTCAGCATAAATATTTAATATCATAATACACCTCACCCATAACCCATTGCCCACATGCATGCAGGTTTAAAGCATAAAGCTGGACAGAGTACTTTCTATTTTAAATTTATTTCTAGAGACAGATGGCTGTTGTTGCCATACAAGGAGGAGTCCTGCCCGCTTGTGGAAATGCTTGTTCCTGCCATTCAAATTGTGAGCTTTCTTGGACATTACAAAACCAGTAAAGAGGTTGCACACTAGGAGCTTATGGACTGTAGGTTATGACTATGGGATATGAAATATTAACAGATTTTATTTTTTAAATTCAACCAAATATTATACTTTTGCCACTCAGGCAATGCTAATACTTTAGTTGTGTATAGCAGCAAAGTTTTATTATTATTTTTATTTAAACAATTTCAGTTTAGTAAAGTTTTCACAGTTTCTAATGATGTCTCTCCTAATCTTTTTTAGTTCTACTGGCAGTCCACAAATATAATGCTAAAAGAATCATTATGAATCTCGGAACAATAGCAGTCTATTTTTACAGCTTCACCTGCTGTGTTAATGATCATTTTTATTATCAATTAATCGGTGATTTATTTTATAATCATTCAGTCATTTGATCTGTAAAAACCAAAACCAAAAGGTTTTCAGTTTACAGAGGAAACAGAGAATGACATCATATTTTCACATTTCAGAGGCTGTTACTAGGAAATGTTTGTAAAATGGCTAATAAATGATCAAAAACATTGCAGATTAAATTGTTAAACTGTTGGTCGACTAACTGATTAAACCTTGAATTATTTCTATAGGTACTTTATTTATTGAGCCTGACCATAGACGGTGTATATAAAGCATAAAGTCTATGAGCCTGACAAATGCAGGCGCCTGCCAGGCAAAGCACAGGACACAAAATCCTATGTTTTATAAACGTCTTTACGTACGCATAGCAGTTCTCGCGAGGCTACATTTATTTGAAAACAGGCGGCAGTGTGACGTGAGGAAAACTGAAGAAAAGGTACATTTTAAAAACCATTACGTTTATTTATTCTGTACATTGCAGTGTCTGATTGACCATTTAGTACAATGGTAAAACACGTTTTCGAGTATTTCTAGGGAACGTTATTCTATATGACTTAGCTACGTTACGTTGTTTTCCTGCTCTTCTTTCAGTGGGTGTTGGGTCGATGTGTGAGGCTTTTAGCTAGTGATGCACCAGAGTAATTAGCGTAACGTTAACTCAAATCTTTAATGAGAGTTACTGTGAGGAAAGCTCCCACGGCTGTCTGAATAAGTTTTGTGTTTTTTTTTTATTTTATTTTATGTGACATAAGATGACTGCAGACCAGGAAATAGGCATTAAAGAGGCATTTCAGCGCGCCCAGAAGGGCCACAACAACAAGGCAAAGCTGGTGGCAAGCCTGAAGAGCCGCTACAACAGTGTAAGTTCTGTGGTATTATGTGAAACTATTATATACAGTATTCGATCTGTATTTATTTTTAGCCAATAAACCTATACGACATATACTCACAGATTCAATCTGTGTCTATAAACTATTTCGTCAGTAAACCATAACACTTTATTTGATGTCCTTCTATTTAGTATTTATTAGGAGACAGTATGTAAACATTTGATATTAACTCTTGTAGTTGTAACCTGACAGTAATGACAATTTACAGTTGCAAGAAAAAGTAACGGAGATAATGGCTGTTTGTCTTTTGTCAGCTTAGAAATACTGCGTTTAATTAATGATATTTGTGACTGGTCAAGATCTGATCACATATCATGACAAATTAATTGATGGAGGAAACTGGGAAATTGCAAATAGTGCCATTACTGTTTTTTGTGACTGTAAATGTTTATTTATATCTGGTATTAGGCCTAAATATAACTTATTAAAAGTGGCCAGTAGGGCTGGGCAATGATTATTGAATATTTAAATAGGCATTAAATTAAATAAAATATTTCATGTGACTAGTGTTTTGTATTTGAATATAATGTCTGCTGGAAATAATGTGATAACGAGGTCAGTATATCATGTTACTACAGCACCAAATACAAACAGCAGAAACATACAGAGACTACAGGCATCAAAAAGGTTTGTGTGGAACTTCAAGAAAATAAATGAAAATGGGGTGCAGTGCAATCTCTACCAGGTTAGGTTAGCACATCATAACTAAACAACAACTATGCACGGCTAGTTGAAGGTGAGACATCCAGCAAAAAGTGGGGTGTGGTCTGCAGATCAACAGTCAGTGACTAGCTTTGTCACCTGAAGAAGGGAGTTTGATGATTGAGGTTCAGAGCAAATAACAGCTCTCATGACAAAGGACATGCTACACATTAGCTTTGTTTGGGGGTGGGCAGTCACCTGCCATTACATAAGCAACTGGGAATACAGAGTGCTGTCCTTCAGACTAAAGCAATGCCAGAGCGGCATACTGCTGAAAACCTGGCGAATGTGCTTTCCACCACCATGGAACACTGGAGACTTGCAGGTGAAGTTCCAGCATGTGTACATGACAATGCTAGCATTATGGTGCTATGTGATTCATAAAAACTGAGCCCAGCTTGTCTTATGTATTGTTTTACCTTTGGGGACCATGAATATACCTGTCCCATATAACCTGAGAGGTCTGGATGGCTAACTGTTTTGCTGAGAAAAAGTACTCCAAAAATAGATTACTTAGTTATTTATTTAAAACCTAAACTATTTTTCTGCTTTTTGCCTGCTATTGATGCCATTCTTCATCTTCTCCTTCAGCTTGAGGACAAGACACTGTTCCATGAGGAGTTTGTCCACTACCTGAAGTACGCTATGATTGTCTACAAACGTGAACCTGCAGTTGAACATGTCATTGAGTTTGTTGCAAGGTTTGCCACATGCTTCCAAAGTCCACCTAAAACAGAGGAGGAGGAAGAGCAGGAGGAAGAGGAGGGAGCTGAGGATGATCATCCTTTTCTGTGTTACATCTTCAATTTCCTCTTGGAGGTATAAACATTACATTACATGAGTGTATTGGTGCAAATTGTAATTATTAAAATACTGTGTTCTGAATAATTGCAGTAAGTCATCTTTGTAACAAATGTGTATGTATTTATGTTTTTAAAGTAATTTGTTAACCACAATCATCTTCTGTCCCATCTGTCTCCTCTTTTTCTGTTCAACCTTGTTTTCTCTGTCTGACATGTCATCTGTCCTTTGATCCATTCCATTCTTCTTCCTCTGTTGTTTGCTTCTTTCTCCCCATTCAATGTTTTGCTTCTCTGTTCCTACTGCTGCATTTTCTATTTTCCCACTCTCTCAGTCTTATAAAGCCAATAGCCATGCAGTGCGTTTTCGTGTGTGTCAGCTGATCAACAAGTTGCTGGGTAGTATGGCAGAGAATGCCCAGATAAACGACGATCTCTTTGATCACATCCACCAAGCCATGCTGGTTCGTGTCACCGACAAGTTCCCCAATGTGAGAATTCAGGCTGCTATGGCCATGACGCGCCTACAGCAGCCAAAAGATCCTGACTGCCCCACCATCAATGGTTTGTTTTTTTCCCACATACCTACTTTCTTTTTCATTTGAAGGAACACACTCAAGTGCAAATGCAGAAAATACAATCTTATGAACAGTACACAACCAGATTTGTGAGATCATTGCTTAAATTGTGTGTTTGACTTCCACTATCCACTATCTGTTGTGCTCTAATTCACTTGACTAATCTGAGTAGGAGTTTTCGACTGTTCTATTGCGGAGGCATGGTGTTTTGACTTTTTGGCCTTGTATTCTTCTATTCTTAATTAGTCTTTAATAAATAGTATTTAAAGTAGCCATTGTTTTGTGTGATTTTAAATGTTTGTGTATCTTCGTCTAAGTTTAATTTTGTATTTATTTCCTCTTTTCAGCATATATGTTGATTCTGGAAAATGATACTAATGCTGAGGTGCGACGTGCCGTTCTTTCCTGTGTTGCTATGTGCCCTCGGACCCTCCCCAAAGTACTTAAACGCACCCGGGACATCAAAGAGAATGTCCGCAAGCTAGCCTACCAGGTAACCATGCACGCGTCATATGTTCTGGTAAAAATGTATGCACACACGTTCTAAGTTCATTAACAGATAACATAATGAAGTTGTTTTGATCTGTGTTAAATGCTCACATCATCTATATTTTTTCTGTTTAAGGTTCTGGCTGATAAAGTTCATGTTAAAGCTTTGACTATCGAGCAGAGAGTTAATCTGCTGCAGCAGGGTCTCCATGACACCTCGGGTACGGTGATTTCTGTGTGTGTCTGTGAGGCATTACCTTTACGCTGACCTAGTTTGCAGTCAAATATGTAATTGCAATTGAAACAATTTATCAGTTTTAAAAATAAATTCATTTTTTGTCAAACCATGTCAACTCTAAATTCCATTGTGAATAATAAGTCTGATGGACTGTGTGTGTTGTAGAAGCAGTGAGAGACGTGGTTTGCTCTTATCTGCTGCCAGCCTGGCTGCTTCGGCTGGATGGTAATATCATAGAGCTGCTTCATAGGCTGGATGTAGAGAACTGTGCCCAAACAGCTCTGGATGCACTGAGAGCCATCTTCAGATGCATGCCTACTGAGGAACTGCTGCAGAACAGAATGCAGCTCGACAACAAGTATACACACATACTTCAAACTCTGTCTGGCTCTCATGTAACAAAATTTAAAAAAGGTCTGAGATTAAAGTTTGTGCATTTTTAACAGAAAGCTAATCCCGGTGGACTCTCTCACCCCTGAGATTGTGCTGTACTGGAGATCTCTATGTGAGTTCATCAAGGCTAAAGGAGATGAAGGTGATGAAATGCTGGAGCAAGTATTGCCAGATGCTGCCACTTATGCTGCCTACCTCTATGGGTGAGAGAAATTACAGAAATTTGCAAGATTAAGGTCAATTTATGCTTCTGCACCGAATCTGTGGTGTAGATAATGCGTAGCTTTTAACTCTACACTGTAGTTTGACGTGCACCTTTTCAGAAATGTAACTACACATCACGGTGACACAGCCCGCAACAACCGTGATTGGTTGCATTGCATTTCCACGTTCATGCCTCTCAGTGGCTGGACAAGGACCAAACCCCCCCCTCGGTCTGCCCATGAGTGCAGTGGCTCCTTGCTTTTATTATCAAGGAGTAATATTCTGTTTCATTGTATTTGAACAATACAGTGACAATAAAGGTTTCATCATCATCACAATGGCTTAAGCCACTTGTGTAGCCTCTGTATAGATTCAATACAGAAGCATAAATCAGGCTTTACATTTGTAGTTTTCTTGCTGTAAGCTCCATGTTTTACACTTATTACAGAGTGTATTTTGCACCAGATGCAACAGGCTTTACAGAAGTGTTTATTCTTGTAGTTAATAATGTGTTAAGTAGTTAATGCAGCTATAATATACATTTTCATAATAACACTGTATCAAACCGTGTACAGAGGATTGCTCCTAGCAGGGAATTATCACAGGGAGTCTGCAGCTTCCCTTTATAGCATGTTTCATCCCATTAACTGTCTAGCTTGCAACTTCACTGTTTTTGTTGCCCTTCACTACTCTCATAGAGTAATTTTAAACCATAGCGGGCAACTGTTTTTAGTGAGAAAGCTATAAAAGATGACTTGTACACTACCTGCTCAGCACCAAATGGCAGACAGGCACAGTTAGAGACTATCTGGTGAACAAAGTGGAGGAGTTAGCACCTAGAAGTCATATATTTCCCTCAGGAGTTGGCAGAGACCAAAAACAGAATTAGAGAGCGACTCTTGGACTTGTATTTGCCAGGTAAGTGCATATAACCAATATACTAACAGGTTTGCTAGTAAAAGTACTGAAGTACTGAAATTTATTTGTGAAACCTCACACTCAAGGTGCTAGACTGCTATCATATTGCAGTATAGCACCTTTTGAATTTGTCTTGGTGATTTATTGTTATAGATGTGGCTTTGCTTTTGATGCATAGAGTACAGCTATGATTCTCCCTGTTGGAGCACACTGCTAGTTTGTCATCTGCCTTACACAGTGTGATGCGTGCCATAAATAAATTTGGTGCAATTGAGTGCGATGCTTAACATTCATCTGCCTATAAAATGTATTCATTTGGTTTAAATGAATGCCCGGTTGCAGGTTTGTATGAATTTCTCGGTGGCTGACTGACAGCTGATATGGCGGCTGCTTGTAGGTGGTGCTGGTGCAGTGTTCAGCTATCTGAAGTATTGCAGCATTACATTTTATATAATTGTCTTACCAGTGTAATGTGCAAGTGACAGCAGTCTTTGTGTGTATCTGAGTAATATCTAATCTGACTTGTGTATGAGAGCAGTTGTTATTTCTGTTGCTTGACTCTTGTCTTTGACTGCATTAGATATCTGAAGTCAGTGCCTGAGCTGTCAGAAGAGCAGAGGTCTGACATTGACCAGGTGGAGCTGGTCATAACGAAAAAGTTCATCTCCCAGCAGCTCATTCATCTCACTGGATGTTTGGACACCAACGAGGAGGGTGGCAGGTAAAACGAACAGGTTTTTGCTGGTGAAATGATAAACAGCTGGTTGAAAAAAATGGAGCAAATCTCTTCAACAAATATGTGGATATGAACTGGGAGGGCATGAAGTGGGAAAATGTTGACAGAAAAGGAGGGCTCGACAGACTTGTGAGAGGCATGCGTGGGGTCATAGGTTTTTGAGGGAAGAACTGTTAAGTTAATGTTAAACAAAGAGGACTTAGTCATTCTGTTTTAGGATAAAGATGAATTGTTTTACCTTGATAAGAAATGTTTTGTTATTAGAGCTGCAGCTAAAGGAAATAACATTCATGATCAAAAACAAGTGATTTGTTTTAGGTTCTTGTGATTTTGTATCTAGACCAGTTACACATCACTGGGTGTTGTAGCTGTTCTTAGTTTAAACATATTATTACCCAACTTTGTTTTGTTTGCCTTGACAACTGTCTTTGAGGTCAAAGATTTAGTCCAATTTGCCAAATATCATCATGAGCTGATTGAGGTGCTTTTATTCAGACTCATTATGTTTTATGTTTTTGTAGGAAGTGCTTGTTAGCTGTTCTACAGGAGATGTTGGCTTTTCCTCAGACCCCGTTCTCCCTGGTCTCCCTGCTTACTGAGAAGCTCCTCACCCTCATTCCTGATGACCAGAGACGCATACAGACTGTGAGTTTCCTGCTGTAAATGCAGCATTCATGTAGCCAAGACTGAACGTCTTTTCCACACACACAGAAGGAAAACCATATATTTAATGGCCTTCATAACTTAATGTGACAGTCCAGTTAGTCAAATGAAAATATAAAAGCTGAACTAATTTATCAGATGGACACAATTTGGGGGTGATGAGTATGTTGACAGATGCTTGAGCTAAACTGTGCAGTGTTACTAAATGTCTTTTGTTTGAGATGTCACAAAATGAAACTGATTTTCCATTTAGTAGGGGTATGTTTACCACAGGACTGATGTCTGAAAAGGCTGGCTTTGTGTTACACAGGTGGCAGAAATCATCTCAGATGTTAAGGAGCCCATCATGGAGGCAAGTCAGCCAGTGGATGAGAAGGAGAGTCGCCGGCAACAGGTCCAGGTGGGCAACATGCTGCCAACTGTAAACACCCAGAGGCACTTAGATTCTGTAATCTCTTCTGATATCTCTACTGCATGTGTTTTTTCTTCCTCTTGTTTAACCCCAGTGAAAGTCGGAGGTTACCCAGAGAGTCTCACAGTTTTGTTCCTCAGATGTGAATGTTAATCAGTCACTTATTAATTCTCAGCCTTCCAACTTTCAGTGATCACTGACAGTGTGTTGTATCATTCTTGAAGTCAGTCCTAGCCCTGGTGTTTAGCTTCCATTCATTCTGTGAATCTGCTTTCATCCATCACTCCTTTTTTTATGTGAGGCAAAATATCCTCTAGTGGGTTGTAACCTGGCCCAGAGCCTCAGTTGTTGCTTTGAATTGCCTTTGTGTATGAAATGTGCTATATAAATAAAGTTGTCCTGCCTTGCCTTTTTCATCTTAGTGGATGTGCATTTGGCTCCAGAATCCTCTGGAGTGTATTTTGGCTAAGGAATGGCTCTACCTACTCTGTTTATTTACCCACTGCTCTTTTCTTCCCTGTTTCTGTCCAGCTAGCAGAGGTGAAGGTGCGTATCTTGGAGGCTAAACAAACCCTGGAGGACTGTATCACTGCCCAGGAGTTCAGCCGTGCAGCAGAGCTAAAGGATGACATTGCAGAGCTTGAGAACCACAGAAACCAGATCATACAGGAAATTGCAGCAAGCAGTCAGCCTGCTGACAAGGAGATCCGAACTGAGAAGGTACACAACCACACAGGAAGCACTGCCTCTGTCTGTAAGATAAACAGTAAAGAGGTCTACTAGAAAAAAGGCAGGGAAATTTGAAACTGTTTTTGTTTTTCTGCATTTCAGAATGACCCAGAGACTCTTCAGAGGTGTCTAACAATGTGTGCTCAACTACTGAAGGAGATGAACATCAAGATGCAAATTGGTCCAACCATAAGCACCTTAATGTCCTCACTGGTATAAATCCACCCTGCACACATCAGCATATTTTTCACAAGTGTTTCTATCACAAATCTGGAGTATCAGAACCGGGTTTTATGCCATAGTTTTGTATGGCCTGGTAAGGACCTGTGTCAGTAGTTCCATGAGTGTATGTGTAACAGTTGTCTGTCTTTTATTTAAGGACATGTGCACTGGATTTCCCCTTCTAATTGTAAAGTGCACCTTTGTCAGTGTCACACAACATGTGTGTGGTTGTGTAAAATGCTCCACTGTTGTTTCCTTCTACACCTCAGGAGAGGTGCAGTAAAAGTTGATTGGTATGACTATTTAGTTTTCTGTCCCTTTTACTGTCAGATCCTGCCCAGTATAGCAAACGCTCATCCTGATGTTCGCAATATTGCTGTGGTGTGTCTGGGAACATGTGCTCTGCACAGCAGGGAGATGGCCAAAACCCACATGGTCCTGCTGCTTCAGGTAATGACATGCAAGTTTCATCTTCATAAGGTTCATTTGCACATATTTATAAACATGCTACATGTTAGACAGTTAGTTCACACAAATTACAACCAACCTGTGCAGATAGTTTTGAAATATCCACTACTAAGACTTCTTTTGCACCAATACAGTGGAAGAGTTTCATTTGTGGTGGTTAAAGGATAAGACCAGTAATTTTCTATAGTAATAGTATTTTCAGCATTGTCCATAAAGAAACTAAAACCACCAGTGAATTACCTCTACTCATGGTTAATGGCTGTCAGTCCTGGATTAGCTTGTTCATCTCTGTGATAGACCTCCGTTGTTGCTCAAAAACATTTAAAAACACATCAGGAAAACACACCGTTGCACTGGGTGACACGTTTTTTTTTTTTTTTTTTACATTACAAATCCCCATACTCCAACGGCTCCTTGTGGTCATAGTTTCCTGAAGTTAGCACAAGGCAGACTCAACTGCACATGCGCAAAATCTTCCGTTACCTCTGCTTTGTTTACCTTCTGCCAGCTATTCATGTTCAGGTCTGGTGTTTGCTAATGAAGAAACATGTCACCCATTGCAATGGTGTGATGTGTTTTTAATTGTTTTTAAATAACAAAGGAGGTCTATGGTACAGATGAACAAGCTAATCCAGACCTGACAGATTCACAGACATTAAATGTGAGCAGAGGCTCTTCATTGTTGGTTATTGCCTCTGTATGTAGATTGCTCAAAATACTATTAATATAGAAAATGACCAGCCTTATCCTTTAAATATTGGAGTCTTACATTTAATAAGCTCAACAGTAACATGTCTTTCTAGAAGGAGCACCCTCGAGAAAATCCATATATCTAAGGTCTTTCTGTGTGTAACTGTAGCTAATAAAAAAAAAACTTACTTGCTTGGTTAGATATTAAACAGGGCTAAGTGGGAAAATATGTTTTGTAATTCTGGTTTACTGATCCAAAAAACAGATGCAGATTTTTTTTTCGGCCAGTACTAAATTTGTTCTGCTTGTGCATGTTTTCAGATTGCCCAGCTGGATGAGGTGAAGATCCGTATCAGTGCTCTGCGTGCCATCATCGACCTTCTGCTGCTGTTTGGCTTCCAGTTGCTCTCTAAACCGGCTGCCACTCAGACAGCCCTGCCCTCCCAGTCCCCAGACAGACAGGAGGAGGGCGCACCACTGGCCGAGGAGAAGGGAGATGGATCAGAGGACACTGCACAGAGTATCCTTGTGATGCTGTCAGAGTTCCTGGACAGCGAGGTGAGCTTGACAGTGAAACAAACATTTTAAAAACTGAAGTGTTTACTTTAATTGGATGTAAAATAGCTGAAGACTTTTTATTGAATTCTGTGTGTTCATCATTCTCAGGTGTCTGAGCTGCGTACAGCAGCAGCAGAGGGCCTGGCTAAACTTACATACAACAGCCGCATGTCCAGTTCCAAGATGTTCTCCCGTCTGGTGTTGCTGTGGTACAATCCCGTCACTGAGGACGACACCCTCCTGCGACACTGCCTTGGTGTTTTCTTCCAGCTCTATGCCCGCGAGAGCAGGTCACACATGTTCTCATACAAAAGCAATACACTTTGTAGTTAATAAAATGATTATTATGTACTTGCCTTGGTGAAGTGATAGTTATGCAACACACACTACTATGGTGTTGGTCTTTGTGTGTATTAGAGCCCACCAGGAGGTTATAGAGGAGAGTTTCCTGCCCACTATTCAGACTGTGATGAATGCACCAGTCACCTCTCCTCTAGCTGAGGTGGATATTAACAATGTGGTTGAGCTGTTTGTGGAGCTGACCCGACCAAGTGCGCTCATTAAACCCTCACCTAACACAGAGGTACGAAACATCCACTGAGACGAATGTTATTTTATTGTTTATTAGTAGTCACGTCTTTGTTGGCTCACTGAGCTCTTCACCATTGCTTCATACCAGAAAATTCATATGGATTTCTTCAGAATAGATGAAGTTTGCACATTGTTTTCTAGAAATCTTCAGTTTATGTTAGAGCAGTTATTGAAGTAAAGTATTTATAAAATGCTTAATGTGAAAACAACTTAATGAGGCAAAAACAAATCTCAGTTTATTGGATGCATATGTCTGGAGCAGGTGTGTGTCCATGACTATTTGGCTGTGCGTATGTGTGGGGAGATGATGAAGGACCCTAAAGCCCCTGAGGTTCGTCTTTATGCCAAGACACTAAGTAACCTAGAGCTCAGCAGAGATGAGACCATCAGGAAAGACCTGCACATCCTGCTGCAAGAGCTTGTACAGGTATATACAGACATAGTTTCATATATCTATATGAATGTGGCTGCAGCTAATGATATTTTCATTTTCAATCATTCATTTATTGAATGGCCTTCACAATTTCCTAATGCTCTAGGTGACATTTTCAACTATCTTGTATTCAGCAGCTTAAACCCCAAACTATTCAGTTTATTATCAGGTAAAATAGAAACAGAGCATCATGACAAGTTGGAAACAAAACATTTGGTGTTTTGCTTGAAAAATGACTTATCAAAATAGATTGATTTTGATGACTAATTGTTTTAGCGTTATGTAAATGAGTACTACACCTTTGTTTTAAAGCCTAATGCTTAATTTCTCCTCTTTCTGATCTTTTCAGGTGGTGAAGGATCGTTTCTGTCTCCGTGCTCTGGAGAAGATGATGAATCAACTGGTGGACTCAAAGGAACATGCAGAGCTCCTCAGCACCAGCGCACTACAGCCACTTGATGTCAATGCAGATGGTATGAATGCAAACACAGTGAGAGTCTGTACAAAAGGTTATCTCACATCCTGCTGGACAACTGTGCCAGATGTTACCTTCTCAGTGCCTGTCTGACTTGATTTACACTACACACACTTGTGACAACTCCTCCTGCAGACGGGTTATGTTTTGTGAGCAGACTTGTCACTAAATGGATTAAAATATGCCAGACTCCATCCTATTCAGTGTCAGTCAAGAGAAGTATACAGTGGAGAGGAATGGCAAAAATATGAATTTTCTGTCTGCCTTGTTTCCACAGAGACCGCAACAGACGAGCCATCTAAATCTGCCAAGAGACCTAAAAGAGGTAATCCAGATTCTGTATACTCATCCAGAACTGTTGTTTGTATTGACTGTATTTTTAGAGCTTTTCTCATCTATCTGAGTGAAGGAGTTGACTCAGCACTGTGTGGTAACCTGAGTATTTGTGTGCACAGGTCAGAGGAAAGTCTGCACAGCTAAAGGAGGCAGAAAATCCAGCAGGAGAGCAGAGTCTTCAGAGGAGAGGTGAGTGTTTTCAATTATCCTTGTCTTAAGCAACCATTCTGACTTTCCTTTAGATATACAGCATGCCTACATACATGATGTGATACTGACACTGTATTTTCACATTGCCATTTCTCATATTTTGTATTTTGGCTACAGTGATGGAGAAAATGTTCCTATGGTGCGTCCATCACGGAAGGCCAAAACTGCAGCTCTAGAGAAGACAAAGCTGGATCTCAACCCCCTCATCAACCAGGAGGCTAATGTGTCATAGAAGTCAGGTTATGAACAGTCAATACAAAAGTCCATGTTGAAATTACAGCTGATTTTGACAAGTGCTCACAAGTTTTCAGTTTATTATAATTCACAAATATTTTTAACATATTGTAAATGGAATTGAACCTGACAGATCCGAGAAAGGGCCCTTACAGAGGTGTCACCTTTTTATGTTACCATGTTTCCTCTCAAGTTTTGTTTCCCAGTTTTTCTACATTAAAGTGAAATATTACTATATCTAGTCCTTTTAATTACCATAAATCCAGATCAATGATCCACAAGTCTTCTAGTTTACATGGACACTGTGAGAAGTTTGACCTAAGAAAAGGATTTTGAGTCACCAAGAGGTGGAAATGCAATATTTTAGAACAAGTCAGACAATATTGTTAGCAAACTATATTTAATGTTTCAGATTCGTCTGGGCTGACTTCGGGTTGGGAAACAGAGTTAGCCAATACATTTATGTATTTGCCACAATGGATTGTGGTTTTTACATTTCACTGTCTACTATAAATCATATCACTTTCTGGTTATTTTAAAAGACACTTTATTGTTCCAATCACAGACACCTTTCTGTTGCATCTGTAGTGAACAGTATAAAAACACATGATAAAGAAAATATACAGATGTTTAGCACCAGGTTCTTCAACAGAGGGCTGAGGGATAATATCACAAGACTGAGCTACCCCACCTCCCTCATGTTGAAATGGCAACCATAGTGACATACAAGGGTAGACACACAATACAGGGTTAAGTTTTGTCCTAAAGCCAGATATCTTGGCTCTAACACAACGCTGATCCAAAATTAGTGTTTAACAATAAACACTCTGGCCTTATCTATCACATGCTGATGAGCAAAAGAGCATTAGGCTGAGCCCTGGTGGAGGTAGGCATCTCTTGCTGCAAGACAGGAATTCTAGGGAAAGCTTAACAGCAACACATCTCCCACCTGCATTTAAACAGTAAATAATGCTAATACGTATAATTTTAAAAAATTAATGTTATTTGTCACAATTATGTATTTTTCTGCTTCACTGAGGAGAACAAAGCAGGTGGGGGAAACAGGTTTGTATAGAAGTAACTTTTAGGATCACATTACATGGCTATGGAAATAAGTGAAATAACATCCCAGGCTGCTGGTACATGTGTACATCCATTCGTCTGTCAGCAATAAAATAATTACATACTGATAAATCATCTGGGTTTGTATTGCACCAACTAGATTCTCTAGGTTTACAGTAGGGGTTGGTAGTGGAACATGGGATGTGCAAAATGGGCAGAGGAATCTGTGTAGTGGGATTAATAATCTCTGATAGAATAGTGCAAGAAGTACATCTGACGGACATTATATGCTTTGGGTGAAAACAAGAAGACAATCACAAAGAAACGATTCAAAACGAGAGCTCCCACAAATCAGGAAATTAAAAAGAATATGTTCTCTAGCTGCTTAAATGCAATTTTCTTCATCACTTCACACATACCTCTGCATCTTGTGAGGTGTCGGAGCTAAATATGTAGTAAAACATTTTCTGATGTTTGTTTGGTGCTTTGATTTGCAAATATTGTTTGAAAAATACTTTACAGTTTTTGGATTTAGTACAGGCTGATGGCCAATTAGTATGAGATTTGCTTTTATATTTAAGGCCCATACACAGATGGGTGGGGATTAGCTGATCCAAAAGACTCCTTCATTCAAACAGCAGTTTTTGGCCACTGGCTTGGAATACAACAACAGTGACTATATAATACTGCAAAAGGCTCAGATTGAGTGAATGTTATCAAATTTCAATAGGTTTTCACACTTATAATCCAAAACTAATTAAATTAGCACTCTAGAAGCTAAACAGTGCCAAGTGTAATAATGACAAAGTAAAAGATTAATTGGGGGGAATTTCAGAGCTGTACATTTTAAGATGGAGACTGACAAAGTATTAGAAATGGTTTCAGATTAAAATACAAGCTACAAAGGTCAGCGTCTGCGGAGTGGGTGGCCTTGAGGTATGGTTTGGGGTGTTGGCACCGTCTTACTGCAGTCAAGCTTTCTCCTTCTAATACAGCAACTTTGACAAGCTGTACAAGCACGTATCCCATTAAAACTCAGAATGACAATGTTTTGATCTATTAAACATTCAGAAAGACAAGCGCAAGTTGGAACTTAAAAAGATTCTGTACATGTATATCTATGAATAGTGCAAAATCAAGCTTTTGTTAAGTTAGACTGCTACATAATTGCTGAGTGTAAGACTGAACCATAGTGGGAAGTTCAGTCCACGCGGTCAGCTTAAAGTCCAAAGGCACCACATTAAACCACAGTCCCTTTCCCAGGAAGAAGGCGGTCTTGGGCTCCATTTAGTTTTCTGTCAGGAAAAAAAGAGAGAGCATAACTTGACTTTGTGTGTTTTTTTTTTGTTTTTTTTTTAAACTGAACCTTGAGAAATGCCAATGTCTTTAGTGATATTCAGTAAAAGAAGCAGGATAGTTACCAAACACATAGTCACACCATCTCGGCCCAGTTAGGCCCCTCATTCGCGATTGTCTCAACACTTTCACTGGTGGTGGTTGTGGTAGTTCAGTAGACACAACCCCAGGACCTTTGTATTTGCCTCTGTGCCGCTCCACCGGCATCTCATCCTGCTCCTGGACTGATTCAGGTGCAGAACCTACCAGCTCTCTTGAGGCAGTCCTCCTATTAATGCTCCTTTGTCTTTCACTTTTCACAGCTTTATCAACTCCTACCAGTTCTCTCCCCCTTCCTGCAAATAAGTATGCGGAGGGTGACCCATCATCCAGTGTCACAGTGCAGGAGTCCCATTCTTCAGTTGATTCATTGTCTGGAGAGTTGATCTTCCTCACCAGGCTTTAGAGCAGAGGTTCTGCTCTTTGGATACATCCAGAGGTTCCTGAGTTTGGTCAACAGAACTGGTGGCAGAGCTTTTCTCCAAACAGTTAGATAACTGATGTTTTGCTAATTTGCGTGGTGCTTTATGTCTTGGTTGTAGTTCAGTTACTACATGTCCATTTGAACAACTTGTAGCTGCTTTTTTGTTAGCCCCTTGCCTCTTTTGCCACCTCTCCCTTTCTTTCCGGGTTTGGAACCTTATCCTTGCTCTAAACAGAGTGACCTGGTATTTGCTGAATGCTCTACTTGTCCACCACTGTACTGTTTGATTGAGCCTGCCTGTTGCAAACCTGGGAGTGAAAAGTTGTCGCCTAATATTGTGCGTTGGTAAAAGTGCCTTATTCCTCTTTCTCAGCCTTCTTTGAGCCTGTTGATGTTGCAAAGGTGTTTTTGGCACAGTTTTTGCAAACTTCTTGATGTGTTTGCGGAGTCGCTCTGCCTGAGGACTGGGGCAAAGATTTTTTTTATTGGCAGAACGAGGGAAGTGCATAAGTTCGTAAGGATTACGGGAGCTTGCCTTTTTGACAATAGCCAGAGACTGTGTCTCTGTGGTCTGCATAAACCAGGAGCAGAGCTGCTGCATGCTACAGGACCTTGGTTTGTTCGGAGGACAGTCAAACAGTGTTCGAACCACAGAGGAATGTTTTGACTTCCTGGTAAACGAACTATTGTTTTTAGTGCCTAATTTGGGATTAAAGGCAATTTCTTTTTCTTCATTCTCCACAGTGTCCGAGACCCAGGTGTCAGAAATGTGTCGTATTCGCCGGACAAGTTCCTGTCTCATTGTGTTTTCCTCAGCTGATGCTACCCACCACCTTAATGTCTCTGTTGGAGTGAAGATGGAGTCAACAGATACCCCTGCCACTCTGCTCAGGTCCTGAGAGATGTTCTTTCTCTCGTGTTCACAGAGCTGTCTTTTCTCACCTGAAGTTGCTGCTCTACTCTGTTGTTCCTCCTTTCTCCTTTCATAGCTGGCCTTGTTTAGCAGAAGTTGTTTAGAGCGCCGCAGCAGAGCATTACTGTGGCTGTATGATCTAGAGGTGGAGGTGGCAACAGCATGCAGGAAGTGAATCGATGGTTTTCTCACTCTCGTTGAGTGGCGCACTGCTACAGGTTGATCTGACTGTTTGTCTTTACCTTCATCCTTTGTGTGTATGCTACCTTTCTCTGTCCGACTGCTTTTGCTTGAGTGATGACTGATTGTCCAAGGCTCTTTAGGAGATCTGAATTCTGGCAAAGGTACTTTCTTCTGAATCAGTGTTTCAGGAGACTGCCGAGTATCCTTATTTATCTGAATTTTACGTCGCCGAGGTGAAACTGTGGTTACCGTGACTGAGATCCCAGATATTTTAACTTTTGCAGGTCTACCTGGTTTCCTTAAGGGTACAGAATCATCATGATTTTGACATTTGATATTACTGTTAGATTGAGGGGCAGACTCTTTCACAGGGCTGACAAAATGTAACTCCTCTGATAATTCTGTTGAGGCTGTTTCAGCACCTCCTGAGCTGGTCTTTGAGCTCTGCATTAATATGCCCAAGTCACTTTTAAGGCCCACTGCTTGCCAAGCATCATGGAATTCTGTTTGTAGCTGGTCAAAACTTTCAGACACCATTCGTTTATTTCTTCTTGAACGGCCATATACAACTGTGATTTTGAGGTTTTTGCTTACATTCTCCACAATGTTAGATGCTGAAACAGAATTACAGTTTACAATTTTTGCCCCAGTTTCTGAATCCACAACCTTCTGTTTGCGTGGTCGACCAATTGGCCTCTTCACTTTTTGCTCCAGCTGTGGCCCCAGCTTCTTTGGCCGGCCCGGACGCCTTTTTGGAGGAGTAGTTTCATGAAAAGATAAATCACATGGTGATCTCTGGCTGTCAGTTACAACTACACGCTTAGGAGTACCTTCACCCGATCTTCTAAAACCTGTTTTAGGTGATGACAAAGCTGACTTGACTGTTGAGGAGCAAGATTTGGCAGGTGAGCACACAGACTTGCTTGGTGAAGAAACTTGCTTGGGTGTTGAAGAGCCAGACTTGGCTGGTGAAGATGTAGACTTGCTTGGTGAAGAAGCTGGATTGGGTGTGGAGGAGGCAGACTTTGCTGGTGAACAAGCAGATCTTGTGGTTAAGGTAGCAGGCCTTAGTGATACAGAACTAGATTTTATTTTTGAAGTAGCAGAGTCTGTGCTCTGACTTTTGCGTTTCTCAGGTGTCCCTGACCACAAAGACATTTCACACGGGTCAAAAGGTTCCACTGCTTGTGCACTAGAACCAGAGCCTGCTGATTTCAGACTATATCTGACTCCTTCCTGATAGTTTACTGGTGATACAAACATGAGCTTAATTGGACTAGTGTACTGGACTTGGGAGTTGGGAGGTTTCTCAACACAAGTAGCAGACTTAATGGTGACATTCATATATGATGGGTTGTTGGGTGTTCCTGCATTTAGAACCTGTCGTTTTTTTGGAGATGACCGTAGCCTTCCAAAAGACTTGTCAGCGCAGTCACTGCCATCAGTCCTGTTGTCTGAACCGTGTTTGGCAAGACTCTTCTCTTTGGCAGCCAAAGTTTGTAGAGAGGCCTGGCACTGAGCTTTTGACTCTACCCAAGATGGTTCACATCGTTTTCTGCGAGTTGATTCAAAGGCAAGCTTCCCTGTGTATTCAAGTGAGGACGGAGTTTCGTTTCTTGATTCAGGGTGGGCATCATTAGCATCTGGATCGCTGGATAAAGCATCAGTAATGCCAGATGTCAAAACCTTGTCCTTTTGTGTTTGCTGGTTAAAGATGCTTTCTGAGAAACATGCAACAAAAAACATCTTTCTGGGCTCTGTGACATAGGAAGCAAACCGCTGCGGAGGAACAATATTTCTCCTGGATCTCCTTGCCTCTTGATTTAACTGGCGTTTCCACCTATCTCTAATTGTACTAGAACAATCTTTACCTTGGCTATTGTCACTGTCAGAGGTTTGGCCTGATGGGGCTTCTTCATGGTTTCTATCACTTACAGCACAACTACCCTTACCATCTTCTTCACAGAGCTTGCCACATTGTTTTACTGAGGGTGCAGTCAGTGTTGACACCTGTGTTTGTACAGTGGTGCCTTTTAAGCCTTCCTTGCCATACATGCTTTGCAGCTCAAGGGTTGGTGTTTCCATATCGGCGAGTTTAGGATCTTTTTCCTCACTGAATGTTTCCCTTTCTTTCTCCTCCGCTTTATGAGTCTGAACTTCTCCTGTCACTGTAACTGTCTGCATCTCTTCTTTTACTTCATCTTTGTCACTTTCTGCAGAAAGCATGTTCAGTGGTTCCTCTTTAACTCTGTCATTCTCTACAAGTTCTAGATCTAATTCCAATTTTCTTTCAGACTCTTTAACTGGGCTTGAGTCTGATGAAGTGTCTGATGTAATTACAGTAACATTTCCATTTTTCAATCTCGCCCTCTTTGCTGGTGGCACCTTCCTCTTATTGTAGGACTGGCCAAGCATGGCAAGGTCCCGTTTAATTTGTAAAGTAAGCCTTCTCGTTGAAGCATTATCAGCAGGTGTTCCTATAGCAGCGAGGACATCCTGCCGACTACGGGAGCGGGTATTAGGTGATTTGTGCTCTTTGCTATCATGGCGATTGAACAGCTCACTGAGATTATAGTCACTAGCACTGCCTTTGTGAAGCACTTTGGTGATAATTTCAGTCAGATGAGCATCAGCATGAAAGTGCAGGTTCTGACTTTTTGAGGGAGACTGTGGTTGCTCCTTTTCAGAAGCATTGACTGTTGTGGAAACCAGAGGTGTGTCCTTCTCTAAAGGTCTGATTGTCTCCAGTTTCTCAGTGAAGCGATTCACAACTTCTTGCAGTAAAAAGCCACTTGGGTTCTGCTTAGCTTGACAACTTCTTGGGGATGTACACTGTAGCTCCCTTTCTGTAGCTGAACACACAACTGTTTCATGGTGGCTTGCATTCACAAGACCATTTTTAACCATTAGGTCAGCTTCTTCCTCTTGTATATGGTGAAGGAGGGAGGGTGGTTTTTCATCAGTTTTCTTAATGATGTCTGAGGAAACAGGGGATAGAGGGGGAGGAGAGGGGCTCAGCTCTCTTTTCAGGACAGGACAAGGAGGATCTCCATCTCCATCTCCTCTTTCTGTTATGTTCCTAACCTGCATCAGACAGGCATGGTTTGAATAACAGGGACAAGAGTGAGAGGTGGGGTGGTTACAGCAGATCGATGAGGAAGGGCATACACTAGATGGAGTGCACAGAGAGGGGGTTCTGGATAGTGAAGAACACACTGTGTTGTTATGACCTACAGCTGGGCTTTGGCAGGAAATGCAGTGTAGCCTCTTGGTGCACAGAACAGTGTAGGTTTCCATCCTGCACCTTCGCACACAGCAGTAGCTTGAGCCCAGGGGAGCTTCACTTTCACAGTTTTTTAAAGGGTAGTGATGGATGCTACAAATGGACTTGCAGTCTCCTGGATGGTACACTGCCATGGTGCTACCATGACCTTGATGATCACAATCACGTAAAGAGTAGTTTAAACTGCCATTATGGGCTTTACATTCACTAAATGGGACTGCATGAGGGTTAACACTGTCCTGTGGGTTTACACTACAGTGACAGCAGTAAGATTCAGTTTGACCTACAGGTCTACGATTAAGGAAAGACAGCAATTTTTCCTGGTGTGCCAGCTTTAGGATCCTGTAGAGTAAGGAACGGTGTGATGGGCAGAGTGAGCTGAGAACAGCATCCAAAACAGAGCTCTGATGACACTTAGTCTTTCGCTGTGCCAGATCTCCCAATTCCTCTGTTAATGATGGCAGCAGGGAGCTAGATTTAAAAAAAAGCAAAGACTGGAGTTAAAAGGATTTACTCATACTTAAGCTCAGTTTCAAGAGAAACAAATAGTCACGTAAACAAACCAAGTCTGATAATGTTTTAAACAATACTACAATAAACACTATATTGTTACTTTCTTCTTCTTAATTCTATAATCCTTGAATGAGCCAAAAATAACAATGCTGCCTCATCTCTGACTTCCCTTTTTATTGTTGTATTATAAAAGCGGTTTACAGCCTGCGACACATGTTAACTGCAGTCCACTGCATTGTCTTCATTTACTGGCCTTATTAGAACACTTATTCTAATGTGTACTATGCAAAAATTAACCACATAAGAACAGTTCAGATATTTTAGGCATCCACTGTTAATGAAATTCATGTACAATTTGACAAGCAACTGGCTGAAGAACTGGTTTATTGATGATTTACTGAAGGCCAACTATAACATTCTGCTAAAAGCAGAAGAACGATTGTAGAAACGCTCAAAACAGAATGTTCTTTTCAACAGCACTTTCACCAACAAACTGACCCTCTGACATTCAAATCAAATAAATAAATCAGGTCCTGAGAGTCATATTTTAGTTTAAAAGACAGTCATTTTAATAATAACAAAATTTCTAGTGTTTCATATTGGATATTATTTTCAGCAATTTGTGTCCAGACCCCAGTGGAGGTCTCCTGGGTCAGATGAATTATAGAAGTATTACACTATGTAGGGTTATTGCTGAATTTATGATAACCTAATTACCATTCAAAATCATTTTCTTAATTATTAACATAAGCATAACCACTACAATAGTCAGGGGTGTCATTTTAGTACAAAATAATTTGTGAGTTAACATCTAGAAGCTTTCATGCAGTTGTAGCAATACACAATTCACATTGCATCAGTGTCTTAATACAAATCAAGAACTACAACAATCAAAATATTAAAATCACAGTTCTGAAGCACAATCAATAAATAAGTATGCAGCAACAACAAACAGGTTTCTACAATAAAAATGCTTGTTATCATAGTGCAATCATTGATTTATGCATAAATAGCAGATTTAAGTTGTTTAAAAGATTTGTCAGCAGTTCAGTCCAAATATCAAAAACAAAAATAGAGTCCAGATGTGTTCCCAGAATCTATTGCAATTATAACAAAGGAATTATCTTTTTTTGTTTTTTGTTTACAAGCCGACCTTTCGATATCAATAGCAGGTAATTGTCAGGGTTGAGTAGTCATGCTGCACTATGCTGTAGCCCCAAACACAGGCACTGTGTACTGGTACGAGCAGACATTCAGGAGCGGAGACATCAGTATCTGTATAACTGCCAAAGTTATAAAGGTTGAAGTGCCACACAATCTGACCAAAAAAAGCTTTAAAAAATAAAACTGGTTTACAATTAGCCCTAAAATTACAAGTAACACCAAAAAGAACACAATACTTTGCTATAAATATGGCAGATCTCCTGTAAATGCCACAAGGTGGATTTTAAAAACATTTTTATAAATCCTTTCACACTCCAAATGACTGTATAATTTAGGAGAAGTTTAAGTACTGTTTGACAATAAATTTACACTTAGGTGTAGTTCCTTGAGCGACAATGAGCTCGTAAGTGTCCCTAGGCTAATAAGATCTCCCACCCCAGCATATTCAGTATCATAATACAGAAACCTGAAACTGGGCTATAGGCAGATTAAGTTAAGAGGTATATGTGGCAACGAGGTTAGAGAGAGAGAGAGAGAGCGCGCGCACAAGACAGGTAGGCTAACATCACAGGAAAAACTAATCGAAGCAGCTTTGTGTGAGTAACCCTGAACTGCTGCTTTGGTAGTAGCACTATTAATGGAAAAAGGCCCATCTCAGAGGCAAACGTGAATGTAGACTGTTGTGAAAAACCACAAGATGCAACATTTAGCATTTCCCCAGACACTGACAAAGAAGCCTGTGAGCTTTGCACTGCATCAAGTCAAGTGACCGTCAGCTTTAAACACTATTTGTCATTTAGTTTTTCTCACATTATGTCACCTTAAATCGTAGTAGTTGAAATAAGCGTCTTTGTTGTAGCTACACTTTTTGTGCCAGGGAAATGGTCCCATAAAGTAGAGTTTTAAGCAGCAGTCATGTATGAGGTTAACAATAATACAGCTACAGTAGCAGAATTAGTAAATATCTGATAATAAAAGAACATCTTTCACAAACAGTACATGTACACAATAACATACATTTCCCAAGCTTATCAGTGCACATTTCAAAACATGCTGCACATTTGCATTCCAACTACACTCAATATAATGTTCAGACTAGCTTGCACAAAGAGAGAAAAGTATGTGGACACAAAATGGCTTACTTAAGCGACTCTTCAACAAGAAAAAATAAATAAACTTGCAATGAAGATGTAGCCACCACAGCAGTTTAGACTGTACAAGCGCCCTGTTTGTAGAGGTGTCTAACAGCACTAGTTTATAATCAATTAAAATGGCTCTAAGTCACTTCAGTAGTCTAGGTTAAGATACCCAGAGAGAAACAGAAAGCTGCGAAGGACAATCATCAATGCTCCATATAACCAGGAGCTTTAAAATTTCAATCAAACCTGAATACCCAATAAGTTAACAGTTAGGAAACATGAGAGTCACACTTTATTTCTTAGCTCTAAGGAGGTCCGCAACTGTGTTTCTCGGACTTGATCCTGGGCAATCTGGTGGACAACAATCAATGTCAGTTTTCTTCCCCCTTGGAAAAGAAAACCCCACCTCATATAAATGTGAAAACAAACATACTAACTTCCTGGAGGTCTTTAAGGATAATGCTGGTGTTATTTTACCCTGTTTATACCATCAAATCCCCTGACAAGACCAAAACCAAAACTGATTAATACTTAAAAAGTATGATCTTTAGCCACAGATTTATATGGCTAAGCCCGCTGGGCTCACAAACTTAAATAAAGCAGCAAAGTTTCAGTCATGCCCGATGAAGGTCCAAGAAAAAAAAAACCATACTTCTTTGATACCTTTTTTGCAGGCAGTTTGCCCTCTCCCCCAATTAAAAAAAAAAAACAACAACAAAAAAAACAACACATGACCACTGAAAATTTTAATAAACCATGCTTTAGACATATAGACCACACCTTAGTAGGATAAAATTCATTTACAGTTTTGGTCTTTGGGATTTGTTGATAACAGTAAACATAATATAATGCAAGCCATATCCTTTAAGATCTTTTAACTTTAGAGATAAAAACTGAACTTATGAGGAGTTTGTTGAGTTTAGCAGCTCCTGTGAACAAAAGCTGCAATGAGCACCACTGCCTCCTGAAAAGTGCTGTACCTTGTAGCTGCTTTAAATAAAGCCCAGGAATAAGCTAGAGAAATACAGCTAAAAATATGACCATCACATTATAGACACAGTTAAAAGACCTGAATATTATTATTCATACATTTAATAAAGGCATGTGTTGTGTTTTAACAAGTGTCTCCAGAAAACATGTATCCTGTAAGAGGAGATAAGTTCAAGTGTTAAGCTCTGGAGGTGTTTCATGGTCTAAAACCTCTTTGCATCAGCAGCTGAGCCAAGAGTCCCTGAGTTAGCGGAACCGGTCATGGAACCAGAACCACATGAGTTGGCAGATTTCTTCTTGGGAGGGTTCTTCAGCGTTCCAGTACGCTCCTTGACTTTGTATTCTAGTGTGCTGTGGGGCACCCCGTAAACTCCCTGGGCCTTGGACACACTCATGCGACCTGCCATTACCATAGTGATGGCCTCCTCCATCAGTTCATGGTCGTACTGGCGGTACCTCCCACGTTTCTTTCTTGGTTGCTTGTCTTTATCCCGGCTACCTGTCCCCTCCTCGGAATCTTCCAGTGAGAGGCAGCGTGGTCCCAGGCCATGGGGTGACTGGTTGGCACTGCCCGGACAGCCATGACCCAAGAAAGGAAGTCTGATTTTTAGGAGAGTTGAAGGTCTGGGAACAGCTGTCAAACTGGCAGTTCCCTCTGTTGATGAGGTACGTTGATGTAGGTTTTCAGCCATGCTGCAATTTTCAGCTGGGATCAACCTGTTAGGATCAGACGTGATACGGACCTGAGGAATACGCAGGGGCATGAGTGGCTCCAGGCTGGGAGTGGGACTTGGTGGGGGCTGGAGACCATCCCTGAGCTGGGGAAATGACTGTGGTAGGGTTTTCTGTAGACCACTTGGCTGATAAAAAGTAAGAGAGGATGAAGGGAAACTAAGATCTCCATTCTCCTCTGTAGCCCCTCCAATTTCTGCCCACTCTGACCACGCCGCCACCTTCTGCAGAACAAGACGTGCTTCACCGCCCAGTGTTGACATCAAATTGTATGATGTTGCTTCATCCCTGAAATCTCTGCTCCCTGGTATAAGTTGGTGGAGCATCCCAGGCCTTCCTTCAGCCCAGCCGTCCAGGCCTTGCCTCAGGCTGTGAAGGGGTATTCCATAAAGCAACGCTGCCCGCTGCTCTTGCAGCCTTCCTGAACGTATATCCTTCAAGGCCTTAGACAGCAACCCTTCAGAAAGCTCCCAGCTCCTCTCAGTGTACTCCTTCTGTCTGTGCTGCCTCCTAGGGATGGGAGGACCAGACAGCAGGGTCAGGATGGAGGTGATGAAGGGGGTTTGATTTTGGCATGGGGACAGGGGGTGCAGAACGAGGGGTCCACTCCTTTATGCCTTGTGTTGGTAACATCACTGCGACTGATAAGTTTCATGTTTGTGTCTGTTTCTGGTCTCTCACACACGCTGCTGTGTGTCTCTCATGCACACACATTCTTTGTGTGCGGCAAAGCCTCTTCACGTCCAGGTGGGACAGTCTGTGAATGGCTGGGGTTACTTTGGTGTTCACATACAACCCCTGTAGTTTTGTGATATCCTTCAGTGAGAGTCCTACATGCTTGAAGGTTGAATAATCAAACTCATCATAACTGGATCAGTAAAAAAGGAGGTAAAATCATTGTGAAGTACTGCAATTATACAATCCTGAGCTGCTGGAAAATGTTATAATACGTTGTCATTGCTGTGACGTTACCGCTCAAGAGATAAAAGAGTCAACCCCATAGAGCCAACACACCAAACACAAGCTAGCTCTTCATAATGACTAACAATGAATAAGCAAAAGAGTATGCATATCATTAAGGCCAGAAAGGTGTTAACTTAAAATCAAGCAACATTAGTAAAACTGACAAGAGTACACAGTATTGACAGTAACAATCAAACCATAGCCATGTTAGATACCATATGGGGATTTCCTCGTGTGTTTATAAAGAGCAAATAATTTTAACTAATGGTAATAATAGGGCTTTCTCATGCATTTTGCCTCAAGGCTGAATAAAATTTACACACCAAAATAATCCAAGAATAATAAAACTCTTACCCTGCAGCTTTGTGATTAGAGGAGGTTGCTGAGCCTGCACAACTCCTATTGGAGAGGTCGAGCACACAGTCTGTTAAGGACAAAATAATATTTAAACTGGTTAGTGGTTGAATCACATTGCTTTGGTGACTTCAAGCTGTGTTAGTGTAACAGTGTTAAAGGTTTTGAAGGAGGAAACTTTTATTTGGTTGTGTTTAATGCTTTCCCCACCTGGTTCAGATTGACTGTCTTTCTCCTCCTGGGTTCGGCTCACTGTGAGGTCCAGAGGGGCATCTGATGTTTCTAACAAAGTTGATGAGGTCCTTGTTGTAACACCATTTGTACTGGTGTGGAGTAGGCACTTGGAAGCATACTCCATGGCAAACTTGTGTATCATTTTCTTCATCAGCTCCTGGGCAACCAGAGGGATGTTGGAATCACAGCCCAGGGGCACATCTAACGGAAGAAGAGACGGATGCAGAAACAAGTAAAAGTTACAGCTGGGCTATTAATAGAAGTTTACTTTCAATAAAGATTTTGGTTTCCAATGATTATGAAAATAATTGAGAAAATGATTACTGTGCTGCACTGCATTTTGCAATGATGCTTTTGTTTTGCGTTGTTATAAATCCAGTGCAGCCCTTCAGTGCTCTGCAGCATGAGCACATTTTGCTTGCATTTGGGGAAGTGAAACATTACTCAAAGCGACAGCACCTACGTTCAATAAATTCATAATGTTTCTAAAGTCACAGTTATGTTAAATAATCTTGATTGCAATATTGACCAAAATCGCCACAGTTGTGCAGCCCTAGTTAAAGAGTGAATCTGTCTTGTAACATGACAAGAGTGACTTGCACCATTTTTACAGGACCACAACAGAAATAAAGCATTAGGGCATTTTTGGTTCTGTCAGAAAGGTCTCTGACATCTTACAATAGCTCAGCTGTGACAAATCTCTTCCAGTCCCATCACATTAGCAGTGTCATCAAAATGTTCTAAATACTGCTAAATCTGACTGTGCAATACTTGGAAAATGTCCCTTCCTAAAATCAGCTTTTTTTGTTTGCTTCCAGTTCCAGGGCAATTTAACAATTTATACTGTCGGATGATTTTTACCACACTGGTTATACTATAGCAAATACACATTGTATTAGTCCACTGTGGGTGTTTATGCAAATAGTAAAATTTATTTATACAGCACTAAATAGTATTTTTATGTGTAACTGTAATGCATAAACAATTAGATTTATTAGCTAGAAGCTTTGGTGGACTTGCAAAATGCATCGTACACTCCTAGGAGATAATCCAGAAAGGTGGTTCAACAAATTCAGAAATTAACTGTGAACGGACTGCTGAAGAACCCTAAGATGGGAAACCAAGTTTTCAGTTCTAGAACAGCTGATTAGAGTTAGTTTAACTCTCAGGTGATTCATTCAGAGTTAAGCTCCTGCGTGAAGACTGAAAGCCATCATCAGCGGAGCTCCGATACTACAATTCACCATGGCAACGGGTAAAATAGAGCAGAGCCATCATTATAATTCATCCATCCATTTTCCTCCGCTTATCCAGGACCGGGTCGCGGGGGCAGCAGTCTAAGCAAAGATGCCCAGACTTCCCTCTTTCCAGACACTTCCTCCAGGGGAATGCTGAGGCGTTCCCAGGCCAGCCGAGAGACATAGTCCCTCCAGCGTGTCCTAGGTCTTCCCTGGGGCCTCCTCCCGGTGGGACATGCCCGGAACACCTCCCTAGGAAGGCGCCCAGGAGGCATCCGAAACAGAT